AATTACATATCTGCCATCATGCAAGGGGGTCCGAATAAGTGTCCGAGAATTTAAATCCAAATGCATGAGAAATGGCAAGTAAACACCATAATTACATATCTGCCATCATGCAAGAGGGTCGGAATAAGTGTCTGAGTGTTTGAACCCTAATGTATGAGAAATGGCAAGTAAACACCATAATTACATATCTGCAATCATGCAAGGGTGTCCGAATAAGTGTCTGAGAATTTAAATCCTAATGCATGAGAAATGTTAAATAAACACCAAAATTACATATCTGCCATCATGCAAGAGGGTCGGAATAAGTGTCCGAGTGTTTAAACACTAATGCATGAGAAATGGCAAGTAAACACCATAATTACATATCTGCCATCATGCAGGAGGGTCCGAATACGTGTCCGAGTGTTTATACCCTAATGCATGAGAAATGGCAAATAAGCACGATAATTACATATCTGCCATCATGCAAGAGGGTCCGAATAAGTGTCCGAACGTTTAAACCCTAATGCATGTGAAATGGCAAGTAAACACCATAGTTACATATCTACCATCACGCAACAGGATCCGAATAAGTGACCGAGTTTTTGAATCCGAATGCTCGAGAAATGGCAAGTAAACACCATAACTACATATCTGCCATCATGCAAGAGGGTCCGAATTAGTGTCCGAGGGTTTAAACTGTAATGCATGAGAAATGACAAATAAACACCATAATTACATTTCTGCGATCATGTAAGAAGGTCCGAATAAGTGTCCGAGTGTTTAAACCGTAATGCATGAGAAATTGCTAATAAACACCATAATTACATATCTGCCATCATGCAAGGGGGTCCGAATAAGTGTCCGGGAATTTAAACCCTAATGCATGAGAAATGGCCAATAAACACCATAATTACATATCTGCCATCAAGCAAGATGGTCCGAATAAGTGTCTGAGTGTTTAAACCCTAATGCATGAGAAATGGAAAATAAACACCCTAATTACATATCTGCCATCATGCAAGAGGGTCCGAATAAGTGTCTGAGTGTTTAAACCCTAACGCATGAGAAATGGCAAATAAACACCATAATTACATATCTGCCATTATGCAAGAGGGTTCGAATAAGTGTCTAAGAGTGTAAACCCTAATGCATCTAAGTGTACGACTATTTAAACCCTATTGCCTGAGAAATGGCAAGTAAACACCACAATTACATATCTGCCATCTTGCAAGGGGGTCCGAATAAGTGTCCGAGTGTTTAAGCCCTAACGCATGAGGAATGGCATGTAAACACCATAATTACATATCTGCCATCATGTATGAGGGTCCGAATAAGTGTCCGAGTATTTAAACCCTAATGCATGAGAAATGGCAAATAGACTCCCTAATTACATATCTGCGATCATGCAAAGGGGTCCGAATACGTGTCCGAGTGTTTAAACCGTAATCCATGGGAAATGGCAAGTAAACACCATAATTACTTATTTGCCATCATGCAAGAGGGTCCGAATAAGTGTCCGAGTGTTTAAACCCTAATGCATGAGAAATGGCAAATAAACACCATAATTACATATCTGCCATCATGCAAGAGGGTCCGAATAAGTGTCCGAGTGTTTAAGCCCTAATGCATGAGGAATGGCAAGTAAACACCATAATTACATATCTGCCATCATGCAACAGGGTCCGAATATGTATCCGAGTATTTTAACCCTAATGCATGAGAAATGGCAAATAAACACCATAATTACATATCTGAGATCATGCAAGAGGGTTCGAATAAGTGTCTGAGTGTCAAAACCCTAATGCATGAGAAATGGAAAATAAACACCATAATTACATATCTGCCACCATGCAAGAGGGTCCGAATAAGTGTCCGAGTGTTTAAACCCTAATGCATGAGAAATGGCAAATAAACACCATAATTAAATATATGTCATCATGCAGGAGGATCCGGATAAGCGTCCGAGTGTTTAAGCCCTAATGCATGAGAAATGGCCAGTAAACACCATAATTACATATCTGCCATCATGCAAGAGGGTCCAAATAAGTGTCCTAGTATTTAAACCCTAATACATGAGAAATGGCAAATAAACACCATAATTATATATCTTCCATCGTGGAAGAGGGTCCGAACAAGTGTCTGAGTGTTTAAATCCTAATGCATGAGAAATGGCAAGTAAACACCATAATTACATATCTGCCATCATGCAAGAGGGTCCGAATAAGTGTCCGAGTGTTTAAACCCCAATGCATGAGAAATCGCAAGTAAACACCATAATTACCTATCCGCCATCATGCAAGAGAGCCGGAATAAGTGTCCGAGTGTTTAAACCCTAATGTATGAGAAATGGCAAGTAAACACCATAAATTACATATCTGCCATCATGCAAGGGGTCCGAATAAGTGTCCGAGAATTGAAATCCTAATGCATGAGAAATGGCAAATAAACACCAAAATTACATATCTGCCATAATGCAAGAGGGTCGGAATAAGTGTCCGAGTGTTTAAACCCTAATGCATGAGAAATGGCAAGTAAACATCATAATTACATATCTGCCATCATGCATGAGGGTCCAAATATGTGTCCGAATGTTTATACCCTAATGCATGAGAAATGGAAAATAAACACCATAATTACATATCCGCCATCATGCAAGATGGTCCGAATAAGTGTCCGAGTGTTTAAACCCTAATACATGAGAAATGGCAAGGAAACACCATAATTACATATCTGCCATCATGAAAGAAGGTCCGAATAAGTGTCCGATCGTTTAAACCCTAATGCATGAGAAATGGCAAGTAAACACCGTAGTTACATATCAGTCATCACGCAACAGGATCCGAATAAGTGACCGAGTTTTTGAATCCTAATGCTCGAGAAATGGCAAGTAAACACCATAACTACATATCTGCCATCATGCAAGAGGGTCTGAATTAATGTCCGAGTGTTTAAACTGTAATGCATGTGAAATGGCAAATAAATACCATAATTACATTTCTGCGATAATGTAAGAAGGTCCGAATAAGTGTCCGAGTATTTAAACCGTAATGCATGAGAAATTGCTAATAAACACCATAATTACATATCTGCCATCATGCAAGGCGGTCCGAATAAGTGTCCGAGAATTTAAACCCTAATGCATGAGAAATGGCAAGTAAACACCATAATTACATAACTGCCATCATGCAAGAGGGTCCGAATAAGTGTCTGAGTGTTTAAACCCTAATGCATGAGAAGCGTCAAAGGACAGGTGGGAGGTAGGCTCATGCAGTAATAGCTCGGGTGGCACGTGCCTCTCGAAGCTCCGAAACTGGCGCAGTCCGTCAGGGGGCAGAACATGAATCGCCGGCCGGTATGTCGCCGGGTCGAACGGGCGCTCGCTCAAGGGTAGGAGGTCGACCCCGGGATCCATCTCGTGATCTGAGGGAGTCCCACTGCGTGGAATGTCATCCGCCATATCAAGAATGATGAGAAAATAGCCGGAAGAAGGAAAACCGGGCTAGAATATGAAAAGTCAACCGAAAAGTCAACCCCCGAGAAGGCCAAAAATGACCGAAAAGACCGGGATGTGAAAGGGTACGGAAATCAAGAGGAAAGCGAGGGGAACAAACCCCAAAAAGGTGGGAACGGTAAAAGAGGCACCGAAACAAAGATTTGGTTGGTTGAAAATGTCCCAAACGCGAAGAAAATCGCGAATCCGACGATGAAACGGACGTAGAACGCAAAGAAACGGTGGAAAGAGGTGAGGAAAACACTCTAGAGAGAGAAAGGGTGGATTTTCGACGGAGAAGGAATTGAAAAATAGGGTTTAGAAACCCTATTTTAAAACACCCGTGGTGAAATGTCGAATCTGCCCCGACTCAGGAACTTTTTGCCGGTCGGCAACATTTTGTGCCGGCCGGCAGAATATTGTGCCGATGAGATTATTTTTCAGCCGATGGACAGCCGGTGGCTTCCCCTTCGGGCCGGTGGTGTTCCCACAACCTTGTTTAGGCCATATGAGTAGTTTTTGGTCTTCATAGCTCAAGAAAGTGCAAGAAAGTGTATCTCCGACGCTCAACCGGCCTCCGTTTTGACCTCGGACCGCGTGTTCTGTGCGTAGTACTCCAACTCATACAATGTTGTATCCTTTCGTATCCTTTTTGCCTTTTACAAGATCCAAAAGTTACCCCGTGTGCATTGCACGCGCTCATCGCACTATTTCGGTGCATTTCGTCGCGCTATCATGCGCCTCGCAGTTGCATTGTTATGCACATGCTACATGCGTTGTAACACGCACCTCTTGCATTGTCATGCACATCTCTCATACATTGTCATTGCATTTTTATTACAAGCACTGTCACGTATTTCAATACATACGTCGCCTCGCGCATCGTTCGCGTTGTCGTGCATTCCCTTACCATGCATTGTCGTGCATTCCGAAAACATGTGCGTTGTTATGCATTTAAGTTCATTTGTTTCATTTTACATTCCGTGTGGCATGCGTGTCACACTCGCATCATTTTGCATATCTTATGAGGCATGCGTGTCTCATTTGTATCATTTTGCATTCCGTATGGCATGCGTGTCACGCTCGCATCATTTTGCATCTTATGAGGCATGCGTGTCTCATTCGTATCTTTTGCATAGATAGTGCACTCTTCCATACTTTCATAGAAAATGCACCTCATTTGCATAGAACATGCATTTAATCGCACTGTTTTCTGCACTTCAAATCAATCGCACTGTTTTGTGCATTTCAATCGCGCTGTTTAGCGCATCGCACTGTTTTGTGCATTTCAAATCACTCGCGCTGTTTAGCGCATCGCACTGTTTTGTGCATTTCAAAATCACTGGCGTTGTTTAGTGTATCGCACTGTTTTGTGCATTGCATTTCAATCGCACTGTTTAGCGCATCGCACTGTTTTGTGCATTGCATTTCAATCGCGTTGTTTAGCGTATCGCGCTGTTTAGCGCATCGCACTGTTTTGTGTCCTTGTCCAAATCAATTTTATGTTTTTGTTTTTCCAATTTTTTCATTATGTAATGCAATCTATAATATCTATGAAGTTCATGTCTTCTTCTTTGTAGTTTTGCACCTTAAATGTTTATTTATTTACTTCATTGAACTTAAATGTAATGGCTTTCATTTTCCTGCATATTTCCTACAACTACAAAGGGTTTTGCACCTTAAATGTTTATTTATTTACTTCATTGAACTTAAATGTAATGGCTTTCATTTTCCTGCATATTTCCTACAACTACAAAGGGTTTTGCACCTTAAATGTTTATTTATTTACTTCATTGAACTTAAATGTAATGGCTTTCATTTTCCTGCATATTTCCTACAACTACAAAGGGTTTTGCACCTTAAATGTTTATTTATTTACTTCATTGAACTTAAATGTAATGGCTTTCATTTTCCTGCATATTTCCTACAACTACAAAGGGTTTTGCACCTTAAATGTTTATTTATTTACTTCATTGAACTTAAATGTAATGGCTTTCATTTTCCTGCATATTTCCTACAACTACAAAGGGTTTTGCACCTTAAATGTTTATTTATTTACTTCATTGAACTTAAATGTAATGGCTTTCATTTTCCTGCATATTTCCTACAACTACAAAGGGTTTTGCACCTTAAATGTTTATTTATTTACTTCATTGAACTTAAATGTAATGGCTTTCATTTTCCTGCATATTTCCTACAACTACAAAGGGTTTTGCACCTTAAATGTTTATTTATTTACTTCATTGAACTTAAATGTAATGGCTTTCATTTTCCTGCATATTTCCTACAACTACAAAGGGTTTTGCACCTTAAATGTTTATTTATTTACTTCATTGAACTTAAATGTAATGGCTTTCATTTTCCTGCATATTTCCTACAACTACAAAGGGTTTTGCACCTTAAATGTTTATTTATTTACTTCATTGAACTTAAATGTAATGGCTTTCATTTTCCTGCATATTTCCTACAACTACAAAGGGTTTTGCACCTTAAATGTTTATTTATTTACTGTGGTATATGATTTGTTTGGTAGTAATTCTCCATATGGTATGTAGATTCCATCATTTCACTTTTTATTTGATTGAAACATTTGTCTAATCTTTTTATTTTGTTAGGATTTCCCCTCTTGTTTGTGACAGGAAACGGACAAGAATTCTGCATGTCAAGTGTTTGAAGATATTTCCGAGAGACAACCCATCAACCCATCAAACCATCAACCCAATGTTGTTGAAAAACTTATTGTATATTAACCTCTTATAAAATGACTATTATGTTTGTAATAGAGCATAAAAGTTTTTAAGAATTCAAATGAGACATTGTAAAGGGAAGGGAGTGTCACTACAAGAAATTAGTCTTATAGAGAATAAGAATAAGAATGATGAATGAATCGTCTCTCACTAGGCCATATGTATGTGGTATTGCTATCAAACTCTTGAGATTTTAATGACAATAACTTGCCTACTACTCAACTAATGGCGGTAGTAATAGGAATGACAATTTTTAAACTTCTAACAATTGATCTTAAACATTAGGAATGACAATTTTTAAACTTTCCCCTCTTGCGAATCACAAGAGTTAATGTCCATGCTAGTTTCACCTCCCTTTTCCAATTTTGGTTATTCATAAATTTCTCATTTACGTATTCTTGTTTTTTTTTTGGGCTGCTTACAGGATAAAGATGTGTCTAGTGATATATAGAACGTTAGAATCGTATATGTTTCTGTTGTTATTTTTCAAGCCACTTAGTATTGCTTTTGAGACATTACAAGTACTTTTATTGGGAAGTCTTTTCATTTTCATAATGGATAGATCTATCTATAGATCATGTAACATTTTTCCCGTAGAACATATAATAAACACAGGTTGAAGGTTCTTTAGTCTGCAAATTGTTTTTTGTAGGCTATTTTGATTCATGGTTTTCAATTGCTCAATATATGGTTCCATGATTCAGCAGGGAACAACACAAATTGCCAAAGGTCCAAACTCCTTGATATATCAATAGCAGGTTGTTTGCAAACTTTTTTTATGTAGCCATGTTATTTTGTTGTTGTGTTACCAAGTGGTTGGGGGTTCTCATGTTTTCTGGTCCCGTTATTCACTTTTTCCTTATTTGCTTATAGCTCCCAAATTTTTTTGCGATGCATTTATTTTGTTGTTTTCTTTCTTCATTCCTCTAACTTAGTATTCCCTGTTCTTTAAAGAAGATGTGTTTTGTGAAGCATGGCACTGTAGTTTTCTTTATATTCTTTTCCCTTTTCCCCATATAAAAATAAAATTATTTGAATGAACAGGTAAAACATGTTAAGCCAACTATGTTACCATTTTTTTCTTGTCCACTTATATCTCATAAAAGAAAAAAAATTTAGTGCTGCATTTATTTTGCTGTTTTCTTTCTTTCTTCCTCTAAGCCAGTATTTTATGATCTTGAAAGAAGATGTGTTTTGTGAAGCGTGGCACTGTATAGTTTTCTTAATTTCTTTTCCTTTCTTTTCTTTTCTCTTTTTTTTTCCTTCCTATAAACGTAAGGGGGTTTGTTGCTTGGTGCAATAGTAAAAGCTCTACAGGACCTTTTTACCTATGCCTAGCCTGCTCAGTTAGTGTCAATGTCAAGAAAATGCACCAATCTCTATCTTTTTTTCCTTAAAGGTTTATATGTTTGTGATTATTTTAACTTGACATGTTTTTAGTTGGTGGGTTGTCTTGGCAATGTTTATATATTTATTAATTGTTTCTAAGACCATGGCTTTCCATGATTCTTGGCAATCATTCGTTTTCTATTGTTATTGTTGATGCTGTTGCTAAAGACCAAGGGTACTTCTAATTGTTGTTGTGGATTGGATTTGTCATTATTGTAACTTAACAAATTTGAGTGCGGGTTCATTCTATGAATGGAAAGGCATTCTCATATGGAACTTGGGTTTTCTTCTGGACATCATGACGTTATTGATGGCACTCTGTCATTATGTGCATATCTGGTGGCTTCATGGCATGAAATTTCATCTTGTGGATGTAGTTCTTTTCCTAAATATATGTGTAAAGTTTCTCACTATTTTTTTGTAGCAATATATTGACATTCATTTGACTTGGACTTTTCAACATTATTATTTCATGTTTATTTTGTTTAACACTTCATATTATTGACCAGGCCTTGTTAGGTGCAATTGTAAAACGTATCAAATGATTTATTAGGTTGAAGATAGCTTTAGGCGTCCTTCATGGATCACTTCCAGATGCAACACCTGAGGAGATTGAAGCATATGAGGATGAATGTGCTATTTGTAGGGTGAGCTTGTTAGCTTAGTTCATTCTCAATTCCCTATTTGATTTTTTGTTAATCTCCAAGCTGTTTGATGGGTGGGCAAATGACAGGAACCAATGGCAAAGACGAAGAGACTGTCTTGTAAACATCTTTTCCATCTAACATGTTTGAGATCTTGGTATGATCTATGTTGCGTGTTACGATCTTGGACCCCCCCATCATGAGCAGAGAGGAATTTGAAGCTCGGAAAGCTGATCTATGAAGAAAGCATACAACGGAATCTATTGCTGCAAAGGTACTATCAATAAGCATCATTCCTTATTATCTGTTATTATTGCTTGAGTTTTTGTTCCTAGGAAATTTAGCAAGAAATAGAACTTAAAAATTTTTACTAGCAATAATGCTTCCCCGTATTTATATCTATCTGTGGAAGTGGATATCAGATGCTACTCTGTTTTTGCTGCATAGTGTGAGAATGCAGCTTCAAGTTTGTAGGAAGTTACTTTCTGCAAGTGCAAATGTTACCAAAGGTTACTCCCTCTATTCATCGATTCTAATCATGCCATTAATTTAACTAGGCTCTACAATCCAAAATTGAATCCCAATCAACAAGGGTCCATCTTGGGCCTGTAGGCCTGCAATGAGTTGTTCACATGTGCACAACTACAATGACAGAGATCCTAATCTTCCACTGTGGTGTAGCTTAATTAGATGGTAGTTCATAGATTGAATTCCTCTGTTTTGTCATAAAGGGGTCCATGCCATTCAGTCATTTACATTTTGTTTTATTGCCAAAAACCTAAGACTAGCTTGACAAGTGACAATAATGTGAAGAGAGAGTTATTCTTAATTGCTTTTATGTGTTGTACTTTGTACAGGAAGCTGTCCCTTGTTTTGTTACATGTCTTTGTCAATCCTATGTAAAGCACAAATAGAATCATTTAGAAACACAAATATCATTTAGGTATAACAACCACAACTAGCTGAGTCAAATATCATTTAGAAACACAAATATCATTTAGCTATAACAATCATTTAGAAACACAAATATCATTTCGATAAACCTGTTGCACCCACATCAAAGCTCCTGAAGAAACTTAGGACCTATTCAGGTATATTTAGGCTAATATTTTTCTTTTTCTTTTCGTTATCTTTCTTTGAAAAACTTTTTTTCATATGAAAAAACTAGTCTCACCAATTATGTACCATTTTTACTTTTAGTCACCTATATGAATGAGTATTTAGATGAAGCCTTGAAATCATTGTAGCCAGAATAGACGTATGATAATATTAAGATTTTACTAAGCAATTGCCAAATCATGATGAGTAACTAGGTAACTGTCTAATGTTTATCACATTTTTCTTCTCTAGTATCAATGAAGATGAAGGAATTCCAGGCAGGAGCAGATTGGGCAGGAAGGGTAAATTTTTGGTTTTAAATAATTGTGTCCCTTTCTACCTTAGGGAGCTTTGGTGTTTGTAATGCTCACAACAAGGAGTCCCAAAACCTACCAATTCAGTGTTAAATTGCCAATAACCATATTTTTTGCTTTCACATTTTGAACACAATGGCATGGCATACATTCAGAGAAACATGTCCTCAAAGATGTATATACGCCTGCATTTTCTTCCCCTCCCTAATCACACTATTTAACCCACAAACACACCATCTTTAACACCATCCCCCACCAATCCCTTAGGATACATGTTTGGATTTGGATTTGGATTTGGATTTGGATTGGGAATTGGATTTGAGTAGGGCTTTGCAAATCCCCCTCAAATCCATCATCCAAACACAATATTAAAGAAAACCAACAATACAGCAGAGGAAAAACTATTCCCATTACACAAACAAACAACAATAAGCCCTACCCATTAGCTATCATTCTCTTCCGGTTATGAAACTCCATAGATGGTGTTGTTGGAAACCTGTCTTCCACTTCATTTATAGAAATATGAATTGTACTCAAAGCTGAAATTATGCACTATACCTTGTAGTTTTTATTAATCAGTTCTATGACGCTGAATTATGGGTGGCATGAGTATCCTAAAAAGTTATCCTAACATCCTATTGTTGTTTCTCTGATAAGGAGTTTCTTTTGCTTTTTCTCTTTAAAATGATTTGTGCCAGTCAACTCTTCTTATGATGCCTTTCCAACAAAGTTGTGCATTTCTAAATTGTGATATTTTACTTTAGAATGTGTGAATTTAATTTGTTAGTTGTTAACTTATCTATATTGTCCTTATCTTATTCCTATAGGTATAGTGTTTTAGTTCTTTGATTTGAGTAAGGAATAGATTCTTAAACAATATGATGTTGGAGATGCATGTGTAATTGTTGAAGATCCTCACACTGAAGATCTCAGCCAAGAAGTTAGAGGCTTCATATTCTCTAGAATTCTGGTTCGTTTTTGAAAGTCATATTTGCCTCAATTGCAATTCCATTTCAAAATACTTTTGGTCACTTCTATAGCTGCATTAATTGCTGATCTTTCTCTCTATACATGATCTACATATATTTAGTAGATGTTGTATGTTTACCAGAGACCATTATAATCTTTTATTTTCTGGATGGAGAATCTTTTTTGGCTGAAAACTCAAGTTCGAAAAATGTTTTCAAGCAATCATGAGTGGACTTCTGTTCATTCTGTAACAGCCTATCACATATAGGAAAATAAAGTTTTGCTTGCTCAGAAACAGATTCTTGATAGCAAAGACACAAACACTTGGCACGAACATGACACAACATAGATATAAATACTAAAACAAGACATAGACATGGCGACAACATTATAATAATGAAAATTACGTATAAACATGGGAATAATTAAAAAATGTCCATTGCATATTTGAGTTGTGGTAGCCATGTCTATGATTCCAGTGTCTTGCATTTCTTCCTTTATCTATTTATTTGAATAAATGGTTGGGTGCTTTTGGGTATGTTCATCCTTTTAATAAGGCTGTTCGTATGGCTACAATTGCTGGCCTTGTGTTTGAGTAAGTGTTAGCCGATGCCCCAAAGTTGCAAAGCATATTTAAATAATGTACACACCCAAGAAGTATCTCAAGTCTCTAGGCGTGTCCAAGTGTAGGTATTGAAGCAGTGTTCTACATGGACACTGCTTATTTGTGTCCGTGTTGCGAAGACTATAGTGGGTTGCTAAATGGTATAGAGAGTCTAATTTAACAATAAGCAATTTGACTATTAACACTTTTTGACAAATATTGTATTGATTACTATTATTATTTTTATTGTTATATTTAGTAAGATAAGAAAATTGACTATCACTAACATAGGATACAGTTACAGCATGGAAATGAACTTTTTTCAAAGTAGAGACACAATTATGTGTTTACTCTCGTGTATTTTTGCTAGGCAGTGTTGGAGTTGCTCTAAGTTAGTGATGTGATTAATAGGAGCTTGCCATGTACAAAGGAACTTTTGGTTGTTAAGTTAGACTCATTGTGTACACAATTTGTATTGACATGGATAGAGAGGTCTATATAATGTAATTGGTAATATGCTAATATTTTTCTTATTTATTTTCTTTGCAGATTGGTTTTTGATGACGTCTGGAAGCATATTTGCAAATCAAGATCAAGTGTTGAATTATTTTTTTTACTGAACTAATCCTTAGTTGTACTTGCAAATCAAGATTGAATGTTGATTTTTTTTTTTTTTTTTTTTTTTTTTTTACTGAACTAATACTTAGTTGTACTTGCAAATCAAGATTGAATGTTGATTTTTTTTTTTTTGTTTGGGTGTGGATTCCACGTTAGTTCATTTTGGGATTTGCTTTGATGATTTTTTTGATATACTTAATGGATTATTATTAAAGTTGTTTGATGGATATATTTTGATTTATAATACAATTGTTTGGTGAATTTTTTTGTGGAGTGGTGTATAATAGCTAGTCGATTTCTTAGCATATTTAAAAGACTATTGGGATATGAGCAGGGATATTTGTGAAATAATAATTTAAATTGAAATATAAAATATGAAACGAGTTTAGTGACGAATTTGTTTCGTCATTTGTGCTTGTTATTATGACAAAGTGATTATTCGTCACTAATAAATAGTTTTTATGACAAAATTTATTGCAAATTATATATGAAAGTTTTCATTGATTTTGTTGTTTGGTGACTAAAAATTTCGTCACGTATATAAATTCTTGCTATGAAATATATTTCGTCACCCATTTGATTTTTAGAGACAAAAGATTTTGTCACCTTTACATCTTACAGTGACGAAATTATTTCCTCATCAATGATCAACATGTGTGACAAATTTATTCGTCAACTAAAATTATAAATATGGTAGTGAATAATTATTTGGTGACGAAAATGAGAATTTTTTGTGATAAAATCTTGTTTTATTCGTGACAAAAAATTTCATCACTGAAGTAATTTCATTGGTGACGAAATTATTTTTCGTCACCGTGGTTTTTAGTGACGAACATTCAATGACGAAACTGGTGACGAAAATATTTCCTCACAAATATCTATAGTGACGAAATTAACTCTTTGGAGACAAAAAAAATTCGTCATTCAAGACCCAACTTGTTGTAGTGTTACGTCGCGCTATCATGCGCCTCGCAGTTGCATTGTTATGCACATGCTACATGCGTTGTAACACGCACCTCTTGCATTGTCATGCACATCTCTCATACATTGTCATTGCATTTTTATTACAAGCACTGTCACGTATTTCAATACATACGTCGCCTCGCGCATCGTTCGCGTTGTCGTGCATTCCCTTACCATGCATTGTCGTGCATTCCGAAAACATGTGCGTTGTTATGCATTTAAGTTCATTTGTTTCATTTTACATTCCGTGTGGCATGCGTGTCACACTCGCATCATTTTGCATATCTTATGAGGCATGCGTGTCTCATTTGTATCATTTTGCATTCCGTATGGCATGCGTGTCACGCTCGCATCATTTTGCATCTTATGAGGCATGCGTGTCTCATTCGTATCTTTTGCATAGATAGTGCACTCTTCCATACTTTCATAGAAAAATGCACCTCATTTGCATAGAACATTCATTTAATCGCACTGTTTTGTGCACTTCAAATCAATCGCACTGTTTTGTGCATTTCAATCGCGCTGTTTAGCGCATCGCACTGTTTTGTGCATTTCAAATCACTCGCGCTGTTTAGCGCATCGCATTGTTTTGTGCATTTCAAAATCACTGGCGCTGTTTAGTGTATCGCACTGCTTTGTGCATTGCATTTCAAAATCACTCGCGCTGTTTAGCGCATCGCACTGTTTTGTGCATTGCATTTCAATCGCGTTGTTTAGCGTATCGCGCTGTTTAGCGCATCGCACTGTTTTGTGTACTTTGCATTCGCGCTATTTTGCGCACCTTCATCGCACTGTTTTGTGCACTTCAAAATCACTCGCGCTGTTTAGCGCATCGCACTGTTTTGTGCATTTAAAACAATCGCACTGTTTTGTGCACTTCAAATCAATCGCACTGTTTTGTGCATTTCAATCGCGCTGTTTAGCGCATCGCACTGCTTTGTGCATTTCAAATCACTCGCGCTGTTTAGCGCATCGCACTGTTTTGTGCATTTAAAACAATCGCACTGTTTTGTGCACTTCAAATCAATCGCACTATTTTATGCATTTCAAAATCACTCGCGCTGTTTAGCGCATCGCACTGTTTTGTGCATTGCATTTCAATCGCGCTGTTTAGCGTATCGCGCTGTTTAGTGCATTGCATTTCAATCGCGCTGTTTAGCGCATCACACTATTTTGTGCACTTCAAATCACTCGCGCTTTCTTGCGCATCGCACTATTTTGTGCACCTTACTTGCATTTTGCATGCATCCTCTCGCGCTATCTTGCGCACCTCACTTGTACTTGTTAGTACATTGCATTGTTTTGAATATGAACCGGCTTCGCGTAGCATATAAGTCCAATTGTCAAAGTCTTCTTTCATATCATTTTGCATCTTATGAGGCATGCGTGTTTCATTTGTATCATTTTATATTCCGTGTGGCATGCATGTCACACTTGCATCATTTGCATTTCAAAACAAAAAAAACAAAAAAAAACAAAACATGCATCATTAGAATTTAATATCTATTGCATTGTAGATTACATGCATTCATTGCATTGTAGCTTTACGGCTCGCGCCTTTCCATGATTGAGCTTGGTCTGGTATGTGCCCATACTTTTCACGCCGAAACATAGTTCAGTGGACCGTTCTATGTTAGACATGGCTTTTACGTGTACATGCCTTTCCTAGGCAAGATTTGGTTTGGCCCGCAGGCCATATCCACTGTAAATATCCATTTCTATTGCATTGTAGCTTGCATGCATTCATTGCATCACCTTCCATTTATGACTTGCACCTTTCCATGATTGAGCTTGGTCTGGTATGTGCCCATACTTTTCGTGTCGAAGCATAGTTCAGTGGACCGTTCTATGTTAGACGTGGCTTGTAGGTATACATGCCTTACCTAGGCAAGATTTGGTTTGGCCCGTGTGCCATATCCATTGCCACCACCCCAGCATATCCATATATATATATTGCATTGTAGTGTAATTTTTGCATCCGGCATTAGGATCATTATCCTTCCTCCAGTGGGTCGTTTCCCCACTTATGTCAATCCCCCTCAATACTCGTTCTTGTGTCTGTCTACGATGCTCATAGTTCAGTAGACCGTTCTATGGTAGACAGACTTGTTACCTCCGTCAATCTATTTGACATAGGTGTGGTTTCGAACCACTCGTGATTGGATCGTAATTCAATTGCTTTGCATATAGTTTGCATTGTTTCAATTACATTGTATCTTCATTTGCATTGTTTATACGTTGTTTTGTATATATTGCATATCATCTTGCATTCATTT